ATAGAAGTTCTTGTGTACTCAACGACAAAGAAATTCTTTAAGTTTATCTACATGTATTGAACATATCGGATCTAGCGTGGTTAAAATTTCGAATCATAACACATTTTTTTTTCTATTTCTTGACTTGTTCAATGATAACACAGATTAAACGATATCAGATGAATGCCGCTCAGGGAAGTATGACCAAGATTCAAAAGAAAACATAACGATTTAATTAATTAATTTCTCTCAAAATTGGAATTTTCATTAGTATATTTACACGAATCTGTACCTGATGTTCAGAATGTTAAACTGAAAAGTCTTAAAAGATTCAAGTCAACATAATTTCTAGATTTTTAAAACTCTGAAAATTTCTTTGATCTTTTGAAAAAAGCTCCTTCAATTAAAAATTAAGCTCTCATGACTGAATAGGTGACACGTATCCACAAGATACTATGTTCCAGAGACCGTCATCAGGACAAATACAAATTATTTTACCGTGGTAAATTATGTACTAATCTTTATATGAGAGATGTTTGTTTAGTTAAAATTTTCAATCTTTTATACAATATGATATAAGACGTCGGTATAAGCTAATCATGCTGATGTTTCATTGACTAGATATTTTAGCGACAATTTTTACAATTCGCTATTGATTATCATTTGTTTCGTGTGAACAGAAAGAGAGAATACAATAGTCAGATGATCGTTTTTTTTTCTGATTCGAACCAGAGATCGTCATCATTATAGCTGTTCATTGGAGGATATCTTGGTTTTACTCATACTAAAAAGCCAAAACATGGGACTAAAAAGAATTGTTTCTTTATCAAGAATGAATATTAGTAATGTCATTTTTACTCGATTATAATGTGACACTTTAATTATCAATTTTTATTAATTAATATTTATCAATGAGTTTTAACCGGTATAGGAAATTTGAAAAAATCCTTGAAATTAGAAAAAGCCTATTTGAATGAATTTTAAACAGAATTATGGTCCTTTTTATGCATGGATAATATTCTTTTTAACATAATATAAAAAAATATATGAGTGTGATCAAAATTTTTCGTTAGATTATCAATCTATTCCATACTCGACCGCAGTTTATATCAGCTGTGATGGTCTTTGTTATGTTCACACATCAGTACAATCAGCCATGGAATGATTCTGAACAAGTCCCTAACGATTGCCCTCTCTCGACTGACTCATCGTTTTCATGAGAACTCTACACTAGGCTGATTTTCCATTCAGAGCTATTGAATCTGTCATTAAGCAACGCACCCTATTCCAAGATAGAATTGAAGACCTGCTAGATAATTTTTACGCTTGAAAATAATAGAAGACTCGGAATCTCTTCCATTGCAGATACAAGATTTAATTCAAATATTTTATCCCTCTTGTCGTTATTTAGTCTACAAAAATTTCTCACCATAATTGTTATGAAATTTTTTTTGTTTTTTTTTCATTATAGTCAAGATGGAATAACACCCATTCAAATTCGATCAATTGAATATTTATTCGATGTAATGTCTACTAATAAATCTCCTGAGAAAAATTTATCAAAAACAACATTTAGTTGTGCAATACTTTCTCTTTTTCCTCGTATTCAACTTGACATTGCTGATACAATTATAAAAACAATGTTTAATGATGCTCGTCTTAATGGTGAACGTCTTTCAATAATGATTAAATGTTTAATTGAATTAATTGATGCACCTATACAACTTATTCAACATATGCCATATGAAACATGGATAACTGGTCTTTGTACAGCATTAGTAAAATTTAATCAACATGAATATCTTATAAAAATAATTGATGAAACAACATTATTTCTTATTGATCATTTATTCTATTTTGAAACTTATGATAATGCAATACAAATTCTTTTTTGGTTTGTTCGTTATGATAAACGTATACAAACATTTCGATATATACTTAATCGTTTATCAAGTTTATTTGAACAATTAAAAATAAATAATAATGATGATCTTAAAACAAAAATTATTGAATTATGTCATATGGGTATTGCTATACATTCTGAATATGATTTATCAAATGAAATAATATTAAAACAAATTTTTCATAGTTTTCCACAACCTGATTTAAATATTTTATTAAATCATAAAAATATTCATGCAAAATTTCATTCAATTAATTTTGAAAATGATAATAAAATTAAAAATCGTCTAGGTATTATTAATTTGGGTAATACATGTTATGTTAATTCTGTATTACAAGCTTTATATCAATGTGATTTATTTCGAAAATATATTCTTGAACATCAATTTAATGAACAAATTGTACTAAGAGAATTACAAATTATTTTTGCTCAACTTAATCTATCAAAACGACCTTATATAAATGCAGCTAATCTTGTAAGTTTAATTTAAGTTCTATTATATCATTCTCGAAGAAATACATATATATATATATATGGTGTAGGTACAAATTGCTCGACCAACTTGGTTTGTACTCAATGAACAACAAGATTGTGCTGAATTTCTTGGTTTGTTATTTTCATAGTAGTAAAATATAGGAGTATTGAGTTGAAATTAGTGTCTTTCTTCAGATCTTGACACAAGTTGTTGATATACGATCTTATCAATTATGTCTCGTTATAATATTCCAAATCCGATGGCATAAAAACAATCTTTCTGTGATTAGCAAAAGCATCTACATCGTGTTTCACATTTTAATCTTATAAAGATTGAACTGATAGTCTTTTAAAATAAATGTCGTGATTTTTCAAATTTCGACTTGAAACTTTGCATAAAGACAGACCTTAAGGCCACCCCCCCCCCCCGCTCAAAAATGTCGAGTTTCGTCAAAAAAACGAAATTTGAGATAAATGCATAGCTG